TGGGCAGCTTCGTCCTCCTTTCCCACAAAGGCACAGTGCTGGCATCTACCAGGAAGCCCAGGTCCTTCTCTGCAGAGCTGCTTTCTAGCCGATCTTCTTACTTAAATAATATATTCAGCTTTTTCAAGTGGCCTTACTTACAGTTATAACATTTGTCCAATAGTCTGTGCTCCGCTTCAGAACAGGTTGCTTGGAGCACAGGAGAGAAGCAGCTATTTAAAAAACTGACGGTTTTGCATGGTTGATGTGGTAGCGCCAGGTTACAGCTGGACAAGCAACTGGTAAAGCACAGGGCAGCACTGCTTACCGGCTGACAGCCCTCTCCCATTCCTGTGCCATAAAGAGTCCTTTGGCTGGTGAGGAATTGTTCAGGGTCATATTAGAGACGTAAAGACTGATGGGAATGAGACATTTAGAGCACCTCACAGGACTGGGCCTTTTCACCATCAGTTAGGAAGAAACTGGGATTTGGAGGCTTAGGGGAGGTTCGTGGCTTTCTTGTTTTTTGGAAAAAGCATTCTGCAGAGAGGGAGGGTGTTTGTGACTCCCAAGTAGGTTTAGGTCTGAAAGACGCGTGGCAGTTCTGGCTATGTACAATAGCTGAGCAGAAGTTTAGGGAATACGAGATTTTGGGCAGCTGAGCTCCTTTACAAAAAAAAAAAAAAGCTGTGAGGGGAGGGGGAGGGCTTAGGCTAAATTGTGTTTATCTTTAACAGTCACTTCAGGTACTACAAATAAATTATAAAAAAAAAAATAATCCCTGTGCATGGTGAATTATGACCACTAAATCAACTATAAAAGTCTTTTAAATTAACCTGGCCTCTTGTAAGGGACCATTTCATGAGCTGTAGTTAAAAAAAATGCCACAACTTTTTTTTTTTTTTTTTAAATCAAGATCTGAAGTGCCCTTGCATTTGCTTGTCCTCTTCCAGGCAAGGGGGCTGTTGAAAGCAGGCAGAATTCCCTTCCCCCGTCACACCTCGCAAGCGGACACATTAGTATATTTTGTCACTCAACTCCTGGGAGCCAGGTAACACCACCGGCCCCAAAGCACCCCCATTTCACAGCCAGCCTTGTCTAGGGTACAGGGGTGGGCACATCATGCCTATGCCTCTTACTCTCACGTCGGTTCAGGTAGCATCTTCCCTGCTGGTGGGAGAGGGAGTGTCTAGCCTGAGGCCAGCAACCTCGGATCTTCCTTAATGAAATACCGTGGGCAACTTACTTGATACAGGGGCGTGGGGGCGTACCTTTCATCAAAGGTCAAGTACAGGTAGTTACCTTTAACGCTGTGCTGCTGTAAGGCTGAGAACACTGTTCATCTCTTTCAAAGTGCTAGACCTGTACAGATGTTCAGTCTTTGTCTGCAAGCAGCTTTTAACCTTATTTTTATTTATTTTGCAGCTTCTGTTGGTGTCAGATGGATGATAGGAGTTACAGAAATTAACAGGGGCTCCACCTATGGCAACAATGACAACAAGCAGAAACAAAAGTAGTATCTTCAGAGACTGCTTCAATCCAAAGGGAACAAATGCAACTTCTGAAAACTCTTAAGTGCATATCATGGTCCTTCAAGTGAGATCAGAGGAAGGGTAGGATGAGCAATTGCCATACATATCTGAATTAGTGCTCCTGTTATTTTTCTCTGGGGGTTTGGGCTGGGTGACACGATTGAAAGATGCACTCCTTCATATACTCTCCACAACAGGTTTGCATTTGTTTGGTTGGTTTGTTTCCCTATAAATTGTCTTAAGTTTTGAAGAAAAATAAAAATAAAAATCCAATGTGCTTGTATGATGAGATTCTACCTGGAAGCTAACCAGAGGTGCAGGCTTTATCTTTCTTAACTTGCTCTAAGGAAGGGATAAATGTCAGAAGATTGTTACAAGATGATTAAAATTGATAATTGTGTAGATCACACATTAGCAATTTAACAACCATAATCCGTCAGTGTTTAAATACAGTAAGATGCTCTGCTTGGTTATACCAGTATTGGACTGAAGCAGCTCTACTGAACTGGCAGACTTGCAGTGGAGTTTCTCTACATTTAGAACTTATTCCCACAGCGTGCACCACACGGGCCCTTAAAAGCTTCAGCCAGAACCTGGCTCAGGGCCCACTTTGTTAGATCGGAGCCTTGCAGTGGCATCACCTGGAGTGGAATTTGGCCTTGTGGCCTGAGCAGAGCTAAGTTACCCACTGCCACATCTTTCCCCAGGCAATATATCAGAGGGATAGCTGAAACCTGTAATTCTTTTGAGTGTAAATGCCATTTATAGTTTGGAAAAACTGAGGTAATAAATTCCTTTCAGCTTTAAACACTGATTAAAATTCTAGGCCTTCCTACCAATGGTGGAAACAGAACAACTGCTGGGTATGCTGTAAGTAAGTAACGCAAAGCGTGCATTGAAAGTTACGCCCCACACCCATACTATTGTGATCCCAATTAATCTGCTCGTCTGTCTTTTCTGATAAATTAGTTTACGTGGTGCCTCATAACAGTCAGCCTGAGGTAATACTTAGATTATCTTTCGCTTTTCTTTTGGGGAGAAGAGGGGAAGTGGGAGAGAGACCTAGGACAGTGGTTGGCGTAGTTTTTTATGGCTGTCTGGACTTGCTTTGACACCCTTCTGAATTAAATAAAACTAGAATCAAGGCCCTTGGGAAAACGGTGTTGCACCAACATCCCTGGTACTGATTCCAGGGCATCCTCCTCTCAAGAGTTATGGGTATGCAAATTACTAAAAAGAGCTTGTTTAAAAAAAGAAAAAAGGAAAAGAGGGGACTTCCAACTATCAGCTATTATGATTGATTGAAAAAACCCCAAACTTTAAAATCTAAAGATACTCATACTGAGCAGTGGGGATTATGATTGACACTTGCAATGACGGTACATTTTCATTGCACGTAGGACTAAGCCATGATCGTCTAGAAATAAATGGCCTGTGTGTCTCTAGAGAAGAAAGTGAGCAGTCTTAGCGCCAGCAGCTGGTATCAAAAACATTTCTTTTTTCCTGTAATAAAACTGAGGCCAGAAGAAATAGTGGCTAATACATCAGAATATGAATCATTCCATGAAATATGCATTTGCTGTTCAGTACCTCAGATCACGTAGAAACTAGTCTTTTTAATATGCAGGACCTAAAGAGCAGGTGTAGTAGACTTTACTTACTGCCCCATGCTAAAAGCACTTTTGAGAGTGGGGGCAGTAAAACGTACACCGTGAAGGAAGGAATAGGCCTTGGGAAGCGTGAGGGACTAGTTTTGGAGGCTTTTTTCCCCCCACCCGTCTTGTGTACACATGCATTCCCTATGCTCTGAAGCTTTCTGAAATAGGTTGTATGATGTCATGAACGTAAACATGGGCTTTAGCGTAGTTTTTCAACACATGAAGTAAATAGAGCCTGAGATCAGAGAGTACTGCCACGCTTATAAAGCTATTCTCTTAATAAAGCACATGCCCTGCACCTCTATTTGCTAAAACAATCTTAACAGTAGAAAATGGAGTATTATAACCTGTAGTAGTGTCTGAAGGTCCAGCTATCCCGTAGTAATGCATCAGGGCCTGAAGACACTGTACACAGGACTTTGAAAATGGGTGGGGGTGGGAGAGGGAAGAGATCTCTCTGAGCTAGCATTTTACTGTAAACCTTACCTGGCAGATACAGTGGGCTTTTCTCAGGGTGGCAAAACCCTATACGCACAGGTGGGTAGTTCTGAGCAGCAAATACATAGTCCTGTAGTGACAGAGACTAGCTTTTTTGCCTTTTTAGAGAGCCACCGATTTAACATGCTGGTAGGGAGACACATTCCTTATGAATCTTAGTCCTTTCTTCTCCAGCTGCATGCAGCGCTACTTCTCCCAAAGGAAAATACCAAACATGTAAATACTTCTGAAAGTATTTAGACTATTTCATACCCATTTCCCTGGGACCAACCCTTAGAACAGGCTGAGGGCCAAACACGCCGCTCCTGGATCTGTCCTCCTAAGCGCTTCTACAAGTTCCGGCGCCCAAGGACTGCACCACTGGGCCCTTCCAGCGTTCACTGGCAAGCAGAGAAAGCTTAATGGTACTTGCCAGAGTTAAACTCGTCCGGTTCACTGTATTAAAAGAATGACTCGTGTCATCCGGAAGCAGTGTTTGCTCCTCATCCCCACAAGCAACTGTTACGTTCTACAAATGCCTTAACAAAAGTAGTCTTAACATTTGTTTATACAAAAATAAAAGCATAAAAAGCTGACGTGCAGTGAATGAGTTTTCTTTTGGTCAGCGACAACGAACTAGTAACAGTTTACTCTCCACCTTTTATCCTGACTCCTAAAAGCTGTCTGGGGTTCCAGTTTGTGTACAAGGGCACCTGAAACAAGGCAGATGAGGATGCAAACTGCTCGGGTACTTCTGATACACCTCAACCTGAAGCACACAGCAGGCTGGGGGGGACTTTTACCTCAGGTACTTTGGTAGTCTGTTGCTGAGGATGACAATGTACTTCCCCTCCTATCATAACTGAAAATAGAGAACTGAAGAGAAAGGAAAGTCTGTCTTTGTTTAAATTCAGCGTTGTATTACTTGAGAGCCTAGATACACTGCACTGGTGACCTGCACAGTGAGGCTCGTGCTTTTCTAGATTTAAATGTCAGATTTCGTGGTACCTTCTCAACAGCTCACCCAGCTGCTACAAAGGATTTGTGGATTAAGAGAAGAGACAGGACTTTAGAATAAAGCCAAATATTAAAAGCAAGTTCTCTGTTTTATAAGTAAGTAAGTTACCCATTTTAAGGTCTAAAGCTGTAACGGGAATATGTAAACTTAAAACTGTTACTTGTAAGCATTAGTGCAAGTCATCTGTTTGTAATAGCAAGCCAAACAAAATAATAATCTAAATAGATCACAACTTGCAGACTGTCTCTTCTAATTGTTAACCACTTCTAACTTCTCTCCATTTTCTGAGACTGGTAACAACTGGGGGGGGGAATCAAAGTCCAGGATCAGAAAGCAGTTTTAAAAAGCTCTTAACAGTACATTCTTGTTTTTGCGAAACAGGGCACAAGAATAATCTTAGCTGATTCTCCTCTTGGCCACAGAAATGCCATGAAAACCTTCCCTGTTTGCAGTACTCGGATTCAAGAAGAAAGTTATTTCAGACTGTGACTCTATCCCTTATGTAATGGGTAGTGTCAGGAATTGCACGTGACCTTACTTCCTCAGGAGGGGATGAAGGGGGACCTTAATTCTATTATGTCACTTGTGCAGTGTAAGAAAGATGCTGCTTACGCATCCTGAACTTGACAATACATTGACTACTGCAATATGAGAGCAGCTTATTCCAGTTTGCTTAGCTTAGCAGTCTTAAACAAGTGTTGAAAAAAAGTTTAAGATGTGACATGACCCCAGGTATTTATTTTCAGAAGAAAAACCCTTCACCAACAACTCCTAAAATAAACCATTTATTGAGAAAAAACTTTTTTTAAAATTTCATTAATCAGCCTTGTGCATAACAAATCTGAAGCTTGCCAAAAACAAATAAACAAAAAACCCAGTAAAAGTTCACAGTCAGTGCACTCAACAAACAGATTAAAAAACAAGGTCCATAACGCCTGGTAACACTACAGCATCTTTCTGAACCTAAAGAGTTCAAAAATACTACATATTAACATTACAGTTCTCAATCAAATGAGAAACAGGAGAAAGAGCAAAAAAAGGTATGGTCCATATACAGTAGTAATGGCACTTTCACTGAAACATGCAGCTTCTTCCAACTTGCGGACACCGTCACGTGAGCAACACGTGCCAAGTAAAACATACAGGAGCAGCAGAGAAAGTGACGCTCGTCACTTGTGCAGTCTTCGTAAGTTCAACGTTTATACTGTTTCTCAGCACAGTCTTTATGTAAATATTACATACAGTAGTGATTAAAAGATATCTTGCCAGAGTAAAAAAGGCCAGAGACTGAGTAACTTCATTCTTCATCTGTGCAAACCTGTGAAGAGGACAAAAGGCAATTAATTCAATTGTCTCCCTGTTGCAGCGAGACGATGACAACGGATCCATTCCTTTAGTGCCTTCACCGAACATCTTGGAAGCTTTCTTCTTTCTCCCTTGTTATACAGATAATGAATTACAACTATATACGCAAATACTGATGTTTCCACTGTCACCACGCAACTCCTCCGTGCCTCAGGCAGCGTTCTGCCTCTGCGACGGATGGGATTTGGCTACAGTTGCACCGATGGGAGCCATGGGTGTGATGATCTCAAACACGCTGTCATTGAACCGGAATACCAAAGTGAACAACTTTACGCTGGAAAATGGGACAGAATTCAATAACCTACTGTGCTCCTACTTCTTCAGAAAAGAAGTTATAATACACCTAAGTTTGTAGCTGTGAATATTTGCCATTCACGCAAGAACTGCAGATTGTTATGCCAGTTGCCAGATAAACATTCAATACGAACTTAAGAAGGAACTTAAAAGGAAAGCAGACCCTCGCACTGAGGATGGTAGAGTTCTCAAGCATGTGCTTGTTTCACTTTTTATGGAGGGGACCCTTATCTCTGTATTATAGAAGTCTGTGCATACGTACTCCCTGAAGTTTTAGGCACATAGCCCTTCAGATCCAATTAGCTACCACTCAGTTGAAGTTTGACAAGTCTTTTTAATATAAAGATAATGCATCTCAAAACAGCAGTGAAAGTTTATTGCACGGCGCACACCAGGTCCTTTTAGTCAAATGTCCGCTAGCAACATCACAGGTGTTTCTGAGAAGTTGCCAAACCGTGTTTTCTGGACAGCATCAACTCGATACCAGCCTCCCGCCGCGATGCAAAGCCCTGCAGCACAGCTGCAAAATGATGCTGCCAACTCAAAGCTGTTCCAATTCCCATCTACAGTCTTTATAGCCAAAGCCACGAGACAAACCTTGACAAAAGGATGATCGAGGAGCTGGCTGGCCGTCCACCTCATCTTTGGGTCGCTTTCCAGGCAGTGGCAAAGGAAGTCTTTCCCCTCTGGGCTCACTTTGTCAGGAATAGGAGGCTTATGACCCATCCCCACTTTATACATGATCTGGAAGTTGTGCTCATATTCGTGCCAAGGCCTCTGCAACAGGTTACAGAATTGCGAAGTGCAAGGTTTAGAGGGGAACTTGCTGTCTGATAGAGCATGTATTTCTGTACCCCAGGAGATTAAAAACCACCCCGGTACTTGCAGACTTGCGTGTGACAAATTGCTGGGAGTGGGACCCGAATTTGCAGAGAAACCGCTACGAACAGTCTGCACTCATTCAGTACATGAAACATCCCTACCTTGCCGGTGACCATCTCTATAACAACGCAGCCCAGGCTCCAGATGTCTGCTGCACGTCCGTGCCCTTCTCCTTTCGCTCTAGTAATTACTTCTGGAGCCATGTACGCTTTGAAACAACACATACGATGTCATCAGTTCATACAGCAGAAGGAACGGTATACCTTAAGCGATTATCTGGGCAAACCAAATGCTTTTTAATACATCTGTAATGAATTACCACTCAGCTTTGCTTAGTAAGTTTTGTCATTTGCTGCCTTCTCGTTCTCTGACACGTTTGCAGCCTAACTGTCTTTCAGTTTGAAAAGTGATAGTGAAAATGCTGGTACAGTACATGCTTTCAATTATTTTCATTTTTTAAAAATAGATTAAGCAGCTGTTCAGCAAGAACAGTACTGTTTCAGTAAGGCTGCAGAGAAAGATACAACCCCAGAAAACACGAGCTCCAGCATCTTTATAGTTACCAGACAAGTACAATTTTATCTTTCCAGTCACATCGTTCACTGATTGTTTTTGGCTTCTGGATGTAAAGCACATCTAACTAGCTAAGCTAAAATCAAGTTTCCCCGAAACATATTCATTTTACTCCAGCCCAGACTTTTGCCAGAGGTATCTTCTTTTATGGTAACTAGACACGTATCTGCCTAGCACATGCTTCCTTACCCGCAGTCCCCAAAGTACTGTTCACTTCTCCAGGCATTGTCTGGGTGTTGTTCTTCAGTTTCACTGAGCAGCCAAAGTCTCCTAGTTTAATCAGTCCAGATGAGGTAAGAAAGATGTTGGCTCCTAGGAAACACAACGAAAACCAGTAACGCTTGTTAAACTAGGGCTGAATTGAGGAACGAGGGCTCCTCGATATACTCTTGGAAGTTACGCAGTAGGTAATAGCTGAAGTCGCACTTAGATCTTTGCCTGTGGATTAAGTGTGGAATATGACAGTGTTAGAGATGGTCCCCAAATTACCACATTACCATTAGCCAATGGGATTTTTGGTGGGTTTGTGTTAACACGAGGTGTACTGGAAGTTGACAACAAGAAGTGTTCAAAACACAAAGCACTATGGCAGGCAAACTCATCAGCTTTCCATACACGCTTGTTATGAAATTACTCCTCCAGGCAGGAATTTATGAATTCCAGTGCTTATCCTTGTGAATGCTGCACTGCAAAAAAACCACCTGTCCTTAAGGAGCTTCCCGGCAGAGGCCATTGCTGCGTACCTCCCACTAGCCATCTTTTCAGTTCTGCTGGGTCAGGACAGATTATATCATACAGCTGTGTCATCACGGCAGACTTGCAAAATGGAGCTTATAGCATTTTATTACGTGTACTACCAAATGCCCACTCCTGTTGTGCTCTACTTCCAGAAGAATTTCTGGAGGAGGACTACTGTTATAATAGCTGGCTACACTGCCAGCTTACGCTAGAAAAAATTTCCCTAGCATAGTTGAAAATCTCCAAGGGGAATCTGCAGTTGGCTTCAAGTCACTTGCTCTACACAACGCTGCAAAATAAGCCAAGTGGTTTTGATAACCAGTGGTTTTCTTTCGTTCAACATCCTGCCAAAACATGCTGCCAGCCAACAGAAAACAGGTAGAGCAGAAGGAGCTCACTATACATCATGTCAGGGCAAATCCTGGATTCTGCAAGTATCACACGATGAAACCACAAGTAGGCTGCGAGGGTCACCTGGCAGAAATACAGCCTGAGCTGTGATCTCTCTTGAGAAGAGATGAATGGTTTGCACAGAACAAAACTGCACGCCTACTCTAGGAGTAGGCAAACGCTGGGGGCTTCCTTACACATAGCCTTTTCCCATGTCTCACAGAAGATTCTTTCAAAAATGGCTCATCTGAATACAAGCTTCAAAAGTTTCTAACTTTTGTTCCACCTTGAACATAGGTCAGTGCAGGAATTCCTGGCTGCTCCTCCTTGGTGTTGTGTTCGCTTAGTTAATGACTTTTTCCAGTTAGCTTGGCTGGGCATTCCCAAGATACTCATGGAAAATAAAAAGAATCCTCAAAAAGCTCAAGTCAAAAAAAAGGCAGTGCAGGTCAATGATGCCAAAACCCTGCCCATTCCTCAAAGGGCTTCTCTAACTACTATGAGAATGCTTGATAACTAAAGCAAGATTTATTGAGTCCAAGAGGTGTTGCACAGAACTGTGCTATAAAAGGGGGAGAGAAATCATTAACAGAAATAAATTCCAACCTTTAATTACATTACAATGTAAGCCTTTCACAAGCTCTGAAAGAAGAATTAACTTCCAGTAAATACAACTCCTCTGCACATTGAGTCCGTAAGTTTTCCACTCCTGGCATTCAGGTGCCTGTACATACTCAAGATCAGAATTCTTTGGCTGGGTTCTGCAGTTTGCCATCAGAGGGTCATAGGTGTCCAGAGTCACCCTGCAATCACAGGCACGTGTAACAGAGCTGGGCAGACCATCCCTCAGCTCCTTGAATGAAAGGGAATCCAGAAACACACCAACGCAGTACAAGGCGGCAGCTCGATGGGACACTAAATATGGGCAATGCATTAGAAGAGTGACAGTTACTCTGCCAGCAACTTTTTCCTTTGAACTACTGCCCACAGCTTTTCTTTTTCTAATGATTTTCAAGCAATTAACTTGTCATACAGAAAGCAGACGCGCTTAGCCCACACAAGGAGCTTAGGAAAAATGGCCATCACTAGCAAACGCTTTTAAAAGGATGTTTTGGAAACCTACGTTCCTGTTCCTCAAGAAAGCAACATGCAAATTTCATGGAAGGCTACCAAGTGGTTTCTGACTACTGCAGTGGGTGGAAACTGGCAGAGCTGAAGTGCAACGATCTCTCTTCTGACTGAATCTAAAGCTGTTGTGATAGTTTGGTTTAATACAGTTCAGAATCTACTTACAAGGCCTTTCAAACCAAAGTTTGTCCCTTTAAAAAAGTAATGACAATTTAGCATAAATGTTACTGCGAAAGTCTCTGTTTCGGAGAACAAGACCAAGCTCCGTAAGGAGTCTTTAAGAAGGGTCATCTTGTTAGACGAGACCTGCACAGAATCCAGCAGGACCTGGGTAAGAGAACAGGAGACACAAGGGCAGTACTTTGAGGACGATGGATCCCTTTTACCTTTGACAGTTAACGTGACCGGAAATGTAACAAAATTCCTACCATATCTGCGTGGTTAATAAGCAAAATAAAACCGGAGACCATGGCTAAACCAGCAAAAAGGCAGAACACACCCATCTGTTTCTTCTCCCCTCCTACACATACACAATTCCAAAGCATCTTCATTGGATGTACTTGGCAGAGGCAAGAGGTAGCCCAGTTCTGCACAGCCCTACTGCCATTGATACCACAAGACCTTCTGGGCAGACTGAAAACAAAGAGCAAATGTCAAAAGCCACTACCCTTGCTAGAGAAAACAATAGCTATGACCCAAAGCACTTAAACTGAAATTTCATGCCCTGCATCTCTGTGCCAAGTCAGCCCCATACTAAGCGCAGTGAAAACCACGCTAGCGTGATATTCCAAAGGTGCTGATGTAAATACTGTGAGTCCGAGGAGCAGTACCAAAAGCCCCACTAAAGACTGTGGCATAATTCCACAAAGAGGGGCAGCTCGTAGACATTCCTCAGCCAGTACTTAAGCAGTGCAGCAGCCAGATTAATTCAAGAAACAAGCAGGCCAAATACTACCCTTTGATGAGAAAATATCAGCTTTAGCATCCTCTTTTACTCCAGTCTCTCAGAAAGCGTGACACATGCCCATAGTCTCCTGTTGAACAGCCTTCCATCTCTTGTTGTATGACTTACTTTCCCTTGTGCTCATCATGAAGACACAAAGGCAAGAATGGCAGAAATTTTGAGCTAACAACAAAGTTAACGAGGACAATAACACAGTAACACTTTGATGAAGACTTCCTGGCCTGGAGGGTCTCATTCTCAGGTTTCTGATTTACTGAAGCTTCAGATGCAATCCCTTCAGTTTCTGTATTCATTCTGAAAACGCAATCCGAGCACTCTTCAGGAATATGCCCTTCTCTCCCAGAGAGAAAGCACCAGGCATGACCTCGGTGATTAATTCCTCTCAATTCAGCACTTGCAAGACCACACTTGGAGTGCTGCGTCTTGTTTTCCAGCTCCCCAGTGCAAGACAGACATTGACATACTGGAGCAAACCCAGCAGAGGGGCATCAAGATGGTCAGAGGGCTGGTGCACACTATGTACAAGGAGAGGCTGAGAGATGGGTTTGTTTAGCTTGAAGAAGGGAAGACCGGGGGAGAATTTATTGCTCTTTTCAGCTGTGTAACGGGAGGATATCAAGAAGATGGAAACAGACTTTCTCCTCAAAGGCACACTGTGAAAGGATATGGGGCAATGGACACAAACAGCAACCTCTGCAAATTCCAAGGAGGTACCAGGAAAAAATTTTTCACAATGGGGATAGGTCAGTCATTGGGACGGGGCCCAGAGAAAGGGGAATCTCCAGCCCTGGAGATATGAGTAGCTCAGCTAAACAAGGTCCTGAGCAATCTGATCGAATTTGACGTTGGATCTGATACTGAGGTTGGCCCTGTTTTGAACAGAGGGCTCAACCAGACATGTCCAGAGGTTCCCTTCAGCATTAAATATTCCATCATTCTCAATCACTGAGCAGAACAGCTACCTTGCAAAAAGTGAAGTAGGAATTGAGGAATCTGGGCTTAGCCCCAAGGGTTAAAAATCCAATACCCAGAATAGAGATTAAACAGTATCCCAAAAGACTTCATCACCTGCTACATACTAGCACCAACTACTTTACACATTGATGCAGACTAACAAAAACCAGTGCAGCCAAGTGTTAACAGCCAGCCAACACTACCCTCAGTTTGCTCTCACAACCATGGGTTGAAAAGGCACGATTCAAGGCAGCTGTGTCTTGCTTCATCTTTTACACTCACAGAACGGGATGCCATAATAGCATCTGAAAGACAACGGTGGCACAAGTGGACACTACTAACTGAAAGACTCAATTTTTGAGCACAAGGTACTTGCAGACACCAACTGCGAGATACGTATAAACAATTACTCAAAGAATTGGTTATCTGCTGCTGAAAGATCAACAGTGACGTTTAGCAAGCTGTCCATGAGAGATGTAGTGTAATCTGACAGCGAGATTTCCGTAGGAAAGCAGTTTTAACAGTCTGAATGACGTATTAGCGTTCTTCCCTATCAGAAAAATAAGAGTACCTGACTACGTAAGAGCAAAAAGTAGAACCAGAGTTTTCTTTACTGCTGTTAGCCTGAAAACTTGGGGATGCAATGTTAGCATAAAAGGAGACAGAGAGCAAGAGACTTCCAATGTAACATCAGCACCCTTTATAAAAAATCCCCTCTGTGGTCTGTCTTCATATTCCGTCATTAAGTTTCGAGAAGGTCTATACATAGATGTGTCTGCAGTGACCCTCTGTTTATAGCTGCTGTTATTCTCAAGGAACACCCCAACATTTGGTATGAGGAACCTGTTGCAACAGAAATGCCCTCAGGTAACAAAGCATTACAGTTCTGTTAAACAGCTCTTCTTACTTCACTGCATTTCCCTGATGAGAGGAAGACCTATTTGGAAACATATCCAGAAATCAGCAATTGCAGAGCAGCACAAAAGAAATCCCTGTCAGCCAGCCTTGGATTTTGATCACAAGGAGCTTCCAGGAGAGCTTAATCCAGCTAAGCAGAACCTGGATATGGAATGATCAAGGAAAGGGCAAGGAGGGCACTGTGAAAAGCACGAAGGGAAACCCACAACTGGAGAGAAACCTTTGGTCAGGAAGGAGAACCAGAAAAGGCAAGATCGGTGGGGAATGGGAGTGAGGGAAAGTATTTTCTAGGAAAAAAAAGCCAAAACTGACTCAAGAGTGGCCTACCTGGGCGGGAGGCCTCTGGATCGTAGATAGTTCTTTTCCCAACTGAGAAGCACGAGGCCAAAGGACCAAGAGCAACTGGGAACCTCCTACACTGCTGCGGTGATTCAAAACCCTGTGAGCAAGAGGGACATAGAAACCCAGCATCGTTGGGTTGCACTGCCTTGTCATAAAATGAGCATTCGCAGGGCGTACTGCGTGCATTGCTTCCCCTTCCTACTGTTAAGTTTCTGCCATAGGTGAGCAAAATATGCCAGACTAACAAAAACAAGATAACTAGACATGAAGGATGTTCTTGGAAGGCTCAAGAAAAGAAAAGTGAATGTGAAATGTGGACTGACACTGGGTGCCTTAAGCAAATGCCAAAACCAACCCCCCTTCAGTTATTGTAGTTCCAGTCTGCTCATTTTGTAAGCAAAAGCTGCGAGCCAGGCATAAGTAGATAAATGTATGGCAAAAAAACCACTAGATCAGTAGTTTTACCATATCCCTTCAACTTCTTTTAACAAGGCTTTTTTTACTGTTTTATCAACCATTTGTCTGAAATACTAAAACTCTTCTGGAAAATGGGAATCACAAGGAAAAGTTCTGACGAACAACTCTAGCACTGTACGCGGCCTGTCAGCTCCCAGAAACACCACCGTTTCTTGCTTAGATGAGAAGAAAAACAACATTACGTAACTCAGTATATTAGTACTAGAAATACAAGGACCTAAATTTGAGTTTGGATGAATCCCCAACAATCTTAACAACCTCTACAGAAACTATATAAATCATGGGCAGAATTTAGGAGTTTGCAATGCCAACTGTGAACTTTTTTTATGTGCTGCACTTAAAAAGAAGCATGTAACTAGCCAATAACTTGTAAATTGAAAGTTGAAAAATGAGTGGAAGGCTTTATACACTTCATGGCTGTATAGATAATGTGCACTAATTGTGCAAGGATGTCCCCCATCACCCCCCCCCCCCGCCCCCGTCTACAACACTGAAATGACAACATTACCTTCTTTGGTTAACATTACCTTTAATGTCTCGATGAACAATACCATGTTCATGTAGTACATTGATAGCAATCGTGATTTGCTTTGAGTAGAGCCTAATGACATGCTCCTGAAGGCCCAGTTTTGATACCTCCTCCAGAGTGCCCTCATCACAGTACTCCATGAAGATGTACATTTCTTCCTGTTGTGGGAACCAAACCGATTTCATGGGTTTTAATTTTTTTTTTAAACACTGAATTAGGATCAAGTTTTCCTTCCATCCTTCACTGTTTGTGAAAAGAGTAATGGAAGTACCATGTAATGTTTTAATGGAAGTACCTCTTACCATGGAATATCCAATAAATCATCTCTTCAGAACTCTATTCTCTTGGGCATGCTTCAACCTAATATATTCTATTGCACAGCTATGGAAAATCTCTGCTACACGTCTATCTGCATCATTTGTAGGTATGTAACTGATACTATTTGGCAGTATAAAATACGTTACTTTGGCATCAACCAAAAAGCACTCTGGAAATCTTGTATATTATTATGTAGGTATATTATGCAGAAATACAAAAAGATCCTGTGCATATTTAGAAAAAAGGTAAAAAGATGTTTAGGGCTTTTTGGTGGTTTTTTTTTTTTCCCTCTCTCTCTCCCAGTTCCTGCAATATCATGTGTTGATTGCTTGGGGAGGGCAAGTTTTTTGTTGTCTGTGGCTTGAACAAGCACGCCAACTCTAGCTCACTTTAAGGAAAAGTTAGGTTCTTGTTCCCCTTCTCTGCCTCCAAGCCCAGCCAATTTCAGCCAGACTTAATTTATACGAAAAGATAGCAAAGACACTAAGCTCTTAGAACCAGCCTGAGAAACCAATGACCCAATGGCACAGACACCCAAAGTTGTGTCCCCAAGTAAAGAAATGCAGGCAGAAAGCAGCCTTTGTCCCCTTCTAAACCAGCAATGGGTCAGCAAATCAACCCATTCGTATCGGGCAAATCAGTCAAAACCAGACACTGCTTTCCAGCCAGACACCAGGCGCCCTGTTCCCTGCCCACCTCACTGGGTAGAGATACAGGAAGGACCTGAGACTCACAGGGGGAGGTGGGAAGGGCACATGGGAAGCAGAGAGTAATAAGAAGTAGGGTATCTCAGCACGCAACTCTGGAACCTAACTTCGTAAGAAAACCAAGCTTCATTAGTTCTGCTGCTCAAGCAAGAAAACTCATTTTTCCTTCTGAAGAGACGCTAGCTGAATTCCAAAAGGATCTGCTTCCTTAAGATACTTGTCTGGCATCAAGACTTAAATGCCAGCACAAGATTTTTCCAGGAATCAACAAGATATTGGTACAACCTTTGCTGCTAACAGTGAAGGATTTTAGGCTGTCCAGTCTTTATCTGGTAACACACACAAGTTACCATACCGTATACAATATAGCTTGCTCTGAGAGCAGTTAAACAGAGGAGCAGCACAGAGTAGCTCCAGCGTTACTCGCTCTATTCACTTATTGTGAACTTCTCTGTTTATCTACCAGTTCCAAAAAATTTCTCTAAACTATGTTTCAGAGACGTCAACATTCAGAGGAAAAAAGACACGCTGCAATTCACAGAGATATCCAGACAATTAAGCTAAACTAGAATGTTCTCAAGTAAAACCTCCATGATCCAAAGCTTCTTAAAATTTTCTCTCTGCCCTATAAAAAAGCCCCAATAATTTATGTTTTCTTACCCTATGGAGCTCCACACCAAAATAACGAACAAGATTAGGGTGTTTGATGCCTTCAAAAATCTTCAGTTCATCAGCTGTTTCTTTGATGGTTTTGTGATCATTAGGTTGAAATCTTATCTGCAAGAAAGATTTTTCATTATTTTGCCACTATTTCAAATTACTAAGGAACCAAAAAAAACCCAAAACCCAAAAAAAACCCTCCACCCACCAACCTACCCCCAAAAAACGAAACAACCCATCCTAAACCCAAACCACAAAAACAGCCAGAAAGCTTCCCCCCCCAAAACAGCATAATCACACAAAAAGCTGCAAAATACCATCCCTCCATCCCCAAACTTAAACAAACAAGAACACCAAACTACTTTTTGAAAACTACATACAAATATGATTTATAAACTTTATAAGAGCAAAATGCTGCCACTTAAATGTATAAATACACCTATGTGTGCACACATGTATCTCTTCCAAGCTTGCCTTCTAGCTTAAACGTGGTAGAGACACAGCACAAGAGAACCTGAAAGTAACATCAGTGAGAGCTATCATGCAAGAAAGACTAGTGGCCAGGTACTTCATCAACGGAGATTCTAAGGGATTTCTTTGAGGGGTTTCTTCATTGAGAATGAGGCAGCTGCAAGGAAAAGGTGTGGCATGGAACAGATACAGTCATAAAGGTTTTGATGAAAGAAACAGGTTTTCATTAGTTCTCCTACAACATGCTGTGATGGATTTTTCATGGAGGAAAAAATTACCAAATCTTCTGAAAAAACTGATTTAAAGCTGCTGTTAACACAAAGATAAGCCAAATGCATAGCAAGTTACGGAAGATGCTACTTTTACCATACTGGTAGAAAGCAGAAACTTCATTAATTGAGTACAGGACAACTGCTAGAGAAATAAATGCACATATTTTACCTTTGGTTGCTAGGATGTTATGATTGTTTTGTTCTGTATAACAATTCCAGGATACAGTTTGTACTCAAACAGTGGTAAAATTAAATTCATGGAGATTACAAAAAGGTGACAAGTGACATTCAAGTATTTTACGTATTTCCTAACACTTCAAAGTTGCAATACTATGTATTTGTAGTAAAGCTTGTCCACTATAATTTGTAGAGATTTTAACGACACTGTGGTTAAGACAGTAAAGTCTAAAGAAATCTCGGGGTGGTGGAGGGAACGCAATGTTTTTAACCAGTTTAAAAATAAATAAATAAATCTTCTCCCAAGGTACTCTTAAGGAAATCCAGAAAAGCCTTTTATTTCGAAGTTGCAAACAGTTTGCATTTAAGCCTACAGTGGGGAGTCAGGGAATGTTTCTTAGCGAAATCATTCTGGAAGTTAAAAATACTACAGGAAAAGGCAGCATACCGTATATTTAGCCTACTAGTAAAGTGTCTGTCAAACAAGGTCCATTTAACTTATTTGAACTTCTGCTGAAGAGCACACACCTGCTGATCTGTAAAAAGCACCTGCATCTAGAAAGCACCTTTGAATTTTAGAAACAGTGTGTGCTACTGATGGGGGGGGGGGGAATGTTTTTTCTTTGTGGGGGGGGGAGGCACACACACACACACACCAAAATTTCAAGTGTTGGTATTAGTTAGTCAGTGAATGAGTATGGCACAAGAAGTTAAGCACAAGCCCAGTCTTGCTTTTCCACACCTTTGAGATCACATACGTATCGTGCGTGTGGAAGAACTGGCTCATAAAATGTTAACTGCTCTAGCATCAAATGGCTGGCATGGTAACTCTTGTGAACAGTTGATGCTCGCAGTTGTCTGAAGACGCAGAAATGCAATAAAACTAAACAATGCAAATATTTTAAGAAACAAGGTGCTGT